AAGACCATAGATGATCGCTACCCCATTCCATGTATTTCTGACATTTTAGACAAATTAGGTCGTTGTAATTATTTCACAACTTTGGATTTAGCTAGCGGTTTCCACCAAATTGAAATAGCCCCGGAAGATATTCAAAAAACAGCGTTTAGTGTTGATGGAGGTCATTACGAATACCTTCGTATGAGTTTTGGTCTTAAAGGAGCACCAAGCACATTTCAGCGTGTTATGGATAATGTCTTGCGAGGACTAGATAACACTATGGTGTATATGGATGACATTATAATTTATTCTACTTCTTTACAAGAACACATTGTATCATTGAAAAAGGTTTTCCAAAGATTAAGGGAGACAAACCTCAAAGTTCAATTAGACAAATCCGAATTTTTGAAAAAGGAAGCAGCTTTTCTTGGTCACATTGTCACATCGCAAGGAGTAAAACCAAACCCCGACAAAATTCAAGCCATTCTCAAATATCCATTGCCTAGAACCACCCGCGAAATTAAACAGTTTTTAGGTTTGATTGGTTATTATCGTAAGTTCATTAAGGACTTTGCAAAAATCACTCGCCCTTTCACCCTATGTTTGAAAAAAGGAGCAGAAATTAAACATGACAAAAAATTTCTCAAAGCTTTTGAACATTGTAAGAATCTTTTAACAAATGAACCATTATTACAATATCCGGATTTTGAAAAGCCCTTCGTATTGACTACCGATGCAAGTAATTTTGCTGTATCAGCTATACTTTCTCAAGGCCCTATTGGCTCAGACAAACCAATAGCTTATGCGTCTAGAACCTTAAATGATTCTGAACAAAATTACAGTGCGACAGAAAAAGAATGTTTAGCAATAGTTTATGGAACTAAGTATTTTAGACATTATCTTTTTGGACGAAAATTTAAAATTGTAACAGATTGCAAACCGCTTCAGTGGTTAATGACTTTAAGAGAACCAAATTCTAGATTACAAAGATGGCGCTTAAAATTATCCGAATTTGAGTATGAAGTTATATACAAAAAAGGTAAAGAAAATAAAAATGCTGATGCACTTTCTCGTATTCAAATTCACGCTACCGAAACTGACCCACAACCTTCTACATCACAAATCCAAGATGAAGAAGAGTCCCCATTTATCCGATACATGAAAACCTTCAATAAAGACTTTTCCGAAAAACCTGCAGATGACCAAACGTCTATAGAAAATAATGTAGGTGATGAACAAACAGTACGCAATTTGCTAGACTTGAGTGAACGAGTTGAAAACGTAACTATTCACTCAGACGATGAAAACCCCATTCAAGAAATTAACCCTGTAGAAAAACCTATCAATGTTTTCAAGTACCAAATTTTTGTTAGAAAAGCCATTATGCCCAGAAAACTCACACTTCAAACCTTATGGGATCCGAAGAAATTCTTATACACATTGTATATTGTTAATGATGATTTAACTCCTATTATACACTTTCTCAAAGACTACGGTGTACCAAAAAGTACTTATGCATTTTATTTTGAAGATAATCATAACGACGAAATGTATAAAAATCTCGCGAACCTTGTATCTAATACATTCAAAAATTCTGCGTTCAAATTAGTCAAGTGCAGTAAAAAGCTTGAAAATATTACTGACGTTTTGAGACAAGAGGAAATCATGAGGTATAATCACGAAACCAAAACTAATCACCGAGGAATCATTGAGACAGTGAACCAAATTAAAAGAAAGTATTATTGGCCCCACATTGATGATGACGTGAAGTTATACGTCAATACTTGCGATATTTGCCAGCGAGGTAAATATGAAAGACATCCACCTAGAATTGAATTTGAGATTACCCCGACAGCTAAAATGCCATTCCAAATTGTTCACTTAGATGTATATCAAGCTAACAATAAGAAATTTTTAACAATAATTGACAATTTTTCAAAATATGCGCAAGCCTTCCCAATCGAAGCAGCTGACGCTATCTCTGTTGTAGACAATTTGATCAAATTCATGTCATTTCATGGTTTGCCCATTAAAATTGTTGCAGATTCTGGTACTGAGTTCAACAACTCCTTAATAAAAGAGTTTGCAAAACTCCATAAGATAAAGCTACATTTTACAACTTCAAAAAATTCAAATAGTAATTCACCTATTGAACGATTCCACTCCACTATAACAGAACATTTAAGAGCTCTTGCATTGCAATTTCCAAAAAAGGATGTTAATTCTTTGATGCCTTATGCAATCCTTGGCTACAATCAGTCTATACATTCAGTGACGAAACGAAAACCAATGGAAATTATTAACGGACATTTAGACGTTAGAGATCCTTTTGATCTAGACGTTGATCGAGAATTAATGAACAATTACCTTCAAGAACACAAGAATAGGACAAAATTAATTTATAGCCTTATCTATGACATGTCGAAAACCCAAAAGGAAAAGGTTATTCGAAAAGCTAATAAAGATCGCGAAAAACCGACCGACTATTCTAGAGAAAAAGTAGCGTACCGACGTGACGCGAAGTCCCGAGGTAAAAAGCTGAAACCACCCTATATAAAAGAACAGATTATGACTGACAAAGCTTTAAAACTAAAAACTAATAGAAATATTTATCATAAAAGTATTTTCAAAAAGCCCAGAAAGAAAGTAACTCAAAATTTGTTACAGGATGATACTTCTTCTGATAGTGCATCTGACACATCAGTCCACGGTGAAGGTCACCAACCTTAAAACAAATCCTGGTATACTACCCTTCAGATTAGGTGATGCTAAAGTAAAGATAGGAACACATACATTTTTACACTATGTAGATTTTGAGCCGATAATTAAGGAAGTAAATTCGCTAAGTACAGTATTTCAAGAAATCAAGGACCAAACAGAAAAGAATAAATATAATTTAGGATTCATTCCAGATACACATTTGGCAGATATAGAACAACATATAGTTTACTCGATGTCAAATTTGAAAAACAAAATAATGTCCATATATCCATTCTGGAAAAAGCAATATCGTCCAAAACGAGGTTTGATAAATGGTTTAGGATCAATTATCAAAATGATTTCAGGGAACTTAGATGATGACGATGCTAAAAAATATGACCAGGCTATTGAACAATTACAGAAAAATCAGAACCAAGTAATTAAGACAGTTAATCAGCAAATTTCCTTGACCCACGAAGTTCTCAAAAATAACAATAGGACATTTAGCCTTATGGTTCACAATCAAGCTGTAATCGAACAAACTTTGGTAGAGATGCAAAGGAACAATACATACTATTTTACTATTTTGGATACACTATTACAAATAAAGTTCAATTTAGATACACTGCTCTCTATAACTAGTAATTTGGAAAATGCCATCGCATTTGCCAAAGTTGGGTCATTGCACCACAGTATTATTTCGATAGACGAATTAAAGTCAATATTCCAAATATTAGTCAAAATTCATAATAAAGCTCAGTTGGTGTATTCAGACATCAAAGATATTTATAAGCTTTACGACATAATTTCAGTAGAAGCATATTTTTCCCAAAATCGATTAGTTTTTGCCTTACATGTTCCGCTTATGCACGTAGACAAATTTAAGCATTATCATCTTTATTCCATTCCTACTGTTAACCTAACTACCATTATTCCCAAAAATTCCTATTTCACAATGAGTACCAAAATGTACCAATATGATGCTGAACCATGTCAAATGATAGAAGATATTTTTATTTGCCACAAAAACAAATTGGTCCATGTTACAGAAGAAGAAGACGATTGTTTATTTGCTATTTTACAAGTAAACAAAAAGCAGCCAAATTGTAACAAAATTCCCGTAACTCTTAAAATGGCCTTAATTGAAGAAGTTTCAGAGTCCAAATACATTGCTATTTTTCCGAAACCTGAAAAGCTGATAATCAAGTGTGAACAAGATGACGTCATAGAGTTAAAAGGCATTTACCTACTTGAAGTGCCTTACCAATGCAGCATACAAACGAAGGACTACATTTACAAAAATCAAAAAGGAACAACCATGGAAAAGCCGCTGCTGCTTCCAGAGGTCCACATTTCATCAAAAACAGAAAATCCAAAGGAAATCAAGTTAGTACATATTTCCTTAGATAAACTTCATCACTTGCAAGAACGAGCCGACCAAATCCAGGTAGATCTTCCCGAAACAGTGAAGCACCCCTACAAATGGAGTCTACCCCTGTATGCAATTATGTTAATTGGAATTGCATGCATCTTCGTGAAAAAGTATTACCAGAAAAGAAAAGGATCAAGAAGAAGCCAGCAGCTAGAAGAAATCGAAATGCAACCCCAGAGGCACGAAGTTTTGTTTGTGCCCTCCAAAACTTCATCTTAAGGGTGGAGGAGTTATGTTGCCGACATTTAGCACTTTATTAATTAATATAATAATTGCATTGTATTCCTTTTTACTAGCTCATCACTTTTGGTTTATATTAACGATTGTATCTTAATTATGAGTCAGTCATTCAATCTCAGTCACAGCGAACACACACACTGTAATTCCGGTTCGGTCCATGTAAACTATTGTTGGAATCAAATAAAGTTTTTTAAAAACGAAGTTTGAAGTTCCGACAACATAATTCCTTACTTACTGTAAAACGTTATTTGTTTTTCTTAGTTAAACATTTTTGAATTAAAATAAGTACGTTGTTTGGTATTGTTTTCGAATCTTTTTTAATTTATAATAGTTAATTATTGAAATAATAACCCAAAACCACATAAACAAATGTTTAATCGCCAAACTTTTTCTCTCTCGACTTTTTTACTCTGAAATATGGATTGTTTTTAAAAAAATCTTAAATCTTCAATAACTTTTCAACCTTTGAATATAGGGTATGGTATTATATAGTCATTTCGATAGCAAAGGGGCTGTATTATCACCTCCTAAAATGTTTTACACCTATTTACCTGTCACCCTGTATATTCGAAACGAAGACATTTTTACTCGAGTTTAGATTTAACCTCTCAAGCGTACATTCTAAATGTGTGTTTTTTTATCTTTTCAGATAAAATAAAAAACATAGCCAACACCTGCCTGCTAGCCCTGACCTTGATGACAGTGTACTCCCACTATATGGTCGCCGACAAACTGGAGCGAACTGCGCCTGCGCTTGTCTTCCTGTTCATGTTGACAGGCAGGTTAGTGGTATTCTTTCAGCTGCAGAGGGCGCAGATGGAACAGGCAGAGCCGTTGGTTAACGGATTCAAGCAAGAGTGAGGAGATACTTCGGAATAGTAGGTGAGTCATCAGATTACGAAAAATCTCCGCTCCCCTTCACGTGTGATTGCAACGCAAAATTTGCGCAGACGTCTTGCACTTGCTGCTCGACTGTTTGTCAATTAGTGTAAATAAAGTTAGCTTCAGATTTGACATAGTAATTTCAACGCGGTACGAGATAATTTGGTACCCAACTTTTCCTTATACTTATTGCCGTAGGTTCTTCTGCTACTGTTTTTTCTTTGTTCAGAGGTAATCCATTCCTATCAAATCATTCGTTGCTACTGTCAATCGTGAGGCTACATTTGTGCTCAAGTGTCAACTGCAATTTGTCCGAAATGAGTGACTGATTATCAAGTCATTGATACATTATGAAAAGGAAGGGACTTAATACTGATCCTTGGGCGACACCGATTTTTACGCTCTTCTGAGGAGATACCAGTTATGGAAATAAATTTTGTAAACGAATAATTATACAAAATTGACAGTATAGCATTAATGCTAAATAAATTTTCAACAGATCCTAAATCTAAAGTCTAAGATCAGGCATACATAACATCCAAAAAACAAAATTATCCCAACTTATACATTTTCAAGTCAGATTGTGCCACTTAGTATTATTGTTTAACATAGACCGAGAAACTTTAATGACGTAATAAAATAGAAACAGTAAAAAGGCAGAAGGTAGATACTCCAGCGCCACTGACTGAGTTTACAGAAGTGATCACTTGTTTTGTCATTTGGGACACAAATATGGGTAGATTTGTGGAAGCCTTGAGAAATTGATAGCCTCGCAAACGTTTATTGGACTATCTCGTATGGTTCCGCTCGAGGGGCCATACTAGAATGACGTCAAGTAAGTTGACTCAGTAATTCCCAAGCAATTCTCAACTAGCTAACGTTTATTGCGAAACCTTAGATCTTATGAACTATGATACAAAAGAAACCGACAAAAGCAATTATATGTCAGGTATAGAACCGACCTACTTAACACAAAGCTCAAAAGGCTGAGACATTAAATTCAATTCTGATACAAAAATGCAAAAGCAATCTGTCAAATATTCCAAACGGCGCTATTGAAATTTTCGCTAACCCATAGTAAAATATACGCCGCACGCTTATCTATGGTCTACCTTTACTTCGTGATAGTAGATAGTTGAGTTATTTTATTGTTTATTCGTAGATTATATTTTTTCTTTTTCCAGGCAAGGAAGAAGACTAATGCAAAATCAACTGAAAACCTCCACGTCAGCAGAAGATAGAAGAACTATGATATTTTGCATTACCGTATTTTGTTTCAGTCATCTTTCATGTTTCAAACTATAACAAAACTACCTAGATTATTAGGTGCTAGAGAGAAAATTAAGGAACGGAACAAAAATACAAAATTATTTTAAGAAGAAAGATCGTGAGATTGACCTCAAATAAGAAATATTAAAACGCTCGCCTAAAAGTGACACATATTCAACCGGGACGTGGTTCTGACTGAAAGTTTTCCTCGATTTCGTATATTCCCGATGATCTCTAGCACCTCGAAGTATCTCTCTGTACTGGTATAAGTGCCATTTAGGAAATATTGTTGAAATAAATGAAAAAATTCCAGTTTTCTGTAAAAAGAGATGTATATAATACGGTTTGTGATATTTTTTATTTTTAGGTTATGTTCTGTTGATCATGTTACTGTTACCATTAGTCCATAGTACCACGTGTAGATCGTTTTCAAAACACAATCGCTACAAGTATTCATACAAATTCTGATAGGCGCATTGATCACCATTATCTGATGATTATGAATATTTCTTATATTACTTATGTATGAAATTTGTAAGAAAATACTTTTTTGCTTTTCACTTATTTCAAGAGAATCTTGGATGGTTGAAGATCACCTGACATTATTAGTTAGCAACATTTGCTTGGCACATTCTTAACTTACCTTCAGGACTTTCAATTTTCATGTACCTACTTTGAAGTTTACTTCGCATATCAAAAACTATTTTCAAATTTCATACGAAGAATAACGTTAGCAGCTTTCTCACTGGTCAGTGTACGCATACTGATTTTCAAACAGGTGAATATAGACTATAATTATGTACTATTGTTATAAATATTGAAAGACCATATACGAGTAAGTAGAGTTAGCTTAATGATACATTTGTGTTAGTACCTTTAATAAAATAAAACAAGTTACACTGGTATTTAAATAGACATTCACTGCCACATATGTAAACTGTCACCATCATTAAACAAGAAATACATCATATCGAACACGATTTGTTTATACCTGCCCTTATATTCAGTTGCCGCCTAATTAGAAACAGGATAATATTAAACAAAGTGGTGTCAGAAGAATTTTGGGACAACGTTAAGAAACACCTGTTGCCTTATTATTTCCTCAAAGTGGTATGTTTTATTTTGGGGGAAATGTATTTTAGAATATTGGAGAACAAAAGTCAATCTACAATAACTTGAATGAATATGACAACTCATTAACTAATTATAGAAAACATACTTCACGGCCAAAATATGCAAATCTAGGTAACACCTGATGTCCTAATTTTAGAGACACGAAATTATTTAAATATTTTGCAGGTCTAAATCATGCCAAATTGAACGCGTGTGTTTTGTTTTCATCCGTGACATTTCTGGTATCTGATGTGAGAGCGCGGCAAAACACTGCGTGTCAAACCTATTTATATTTATTGACATCTTAATAACTCACAGCCGCTCAAGCAGGGCAGAAGTGAGCATGCTTTTTGAAATATTATTGTGATGGTCCCTTCCTTACCTCATTCGTAGTCCATTTACGCCCAGACAAAACACAGCATGCCCAAAAGCGAGATTGTGCAGGTCCGTATTTACCTCAATGGTCTTGGAATAATCTAACAAAGTAAATTAATGATTATTTTTATAGACAGAAGCGCACATACTTTTTCACAATTTTTATTATATAGTTTTCTAGTATGGTATGGAGGATTATCAAGTACAATGACGGTATTGTCGTCAAGCTTTGGGAGCGTTTCTTCAAACCATCGTTCAAATGAACTACCGTCCATTTCGTCATGGTAGTCGGTCGTTTTCTTTGACTCAAATGCCAGCCGCACAAAGCTACCTTCACTGCCAATGTGACAGATGACAAATCGTTTTCCTTGTACTATGTATATTGCTCAATTAGTAGTGATGGCCGGAAGACAGGCGTTTTGGGATAAACAACTCGAAATTTTCAAAAACAACTCCAATTTTTTTGTGGATATCTAGAGGTAAAAAACCTGATTTGAAGAACTTCAAGTAGCTGCGTGAAATTATCGTCGCATTAGCAACAAGAGCCACAACCTGCATTTTGCCTCAGTTTTCGGCCATAACTTTCTTACTATTCGTCGGATTTTCTTATGTGTGGTCTCATTCTGTAGGCCTCATAAATACCCAGAAATCTTATTTGAAGAGTTTTTGGTTCCGGACAACACTTCCGATTGAATCCCAAAAACACGTTTTCTCATTCGTTGTTGTCGAATAAATAGTTTTCCCACTAAAACTGGTGTACCCATTTTATGCGTCCATGATTTACATACCCCCTAGAACAACTAGCACCAATAGAACCAGACTTTATAATTATTTCTGGGAAATTTGCTAATATGATTAGACATTGCAGGAAACTTTGAAAGTGGCTGACAGTCATATGTGATTGACATAGACTTCTCTACCGCTAAATGACATTATTGATACTGTTGATGAAAATTCTTCACTTTACGCTGACGAAGAATTGGTGTTGAGTTAATAATGAGTCAGTCAGTAGCAGTCAACTTTGAGAAAACCTGAGTAAGTTAGACGCTTGGTGCTCACAAAACAATCTGCCATAGAACATCAATAAATGTTACGTTATGTCTGATACCAACATGAATGAAATGCCGGTGTTTATGAAACACTAGGCAATTAGGTACCACTTTTGCATCCATCAGCATAGTAGGATCTCAGACTACGGTGATCAGCAGCAAAAATAAAAATCGATATGCTTTAGGGTTGAAATAATATATAAGAGCAACGACAAATACTATATTGATTATATTGAGAATACAAATAAATAAATAAATAATATACAAAAATAAAGAAACGGTGCACTTATATCTATGAGCTAACCCTTCAGTACTTGCCTCATACACATATCACAGATTATTTTGTTGAAAATACTGTATTTATAAAAACTATACAAATTAGAAACAAACAATTTATAAACAAAAATAAAATAAGTATTTATTTAAAAAAATAAAACTAGTATTTATTTAAAAATAGAAACAACCCGGCTTCAATAACTGAAGAATGAGGATTTAATTCTGCTATTTAGAGAAATATATAGTTGAAGCTGTCCGCCGTAAAAAAGGAGTTTCAAGGTTGCGGCATCCACACCCCGTGAACAATCTAGTCTTGCCTCAAAAAGCTAGGCGGGGCGATTTCCTTTTCTCATAGAAATCTTCAACTCAGCAGGGATACTGTCTATTAAGCCTCTGTTGACTTTTGGCCTTCATACATGAAATTTAATCTCTCAAAAACGATTGTTAACTGTTGATAACTTCCACTTTTAACCCACTAGCCCCCTCTCCTCCACTATTACTACCATCTCCTCCTCCGTGTCGTAACACGCACTTTTTGTAGTGCGTCCTCATGTTACTGCTCTGCGAAAAGGCCAGTCCGCACCTGTCGCATTTGTACGGTTTTAGGCCCGTATGGAAGTTCATATGTGTCTTGAGATGGTGTTTCTTCGTGAAGCTCTTCGGGCAGAGATCGCAAGAGTACGGTTTTACCCCTGTAAAAGATACGTTTATCAAATTACTTAAAAAATAAATGCGAGCATATTAATGATACAAAAGCCATTTCATGTAACAGGTTAAGAGGTATTTTCTTTTCAAGGTCATTTTGAGGATAAGTTTCAAAGTAGTACTGACTAGGTCAAGATCATGATCAAGGTTACCATGAAGTAGTTGTTCTGTTATCAGAGTAACTATATTCGTTTGTTGTATTTTGCTCCAAATTTTATTAGCTATAGTTAGTCATAATGATTTTTTAGTAAATTGAAGAAGGTAAGTTTGTATGCTTGTGAAGTTTGGCTACCCAGATAACAGACAAAGTTATAGAGAAATAAGAGAAAGAGCCAGCTGGAAGGGATGATTATATCGTATACCTCTTACAAGCTGAAGCGTAGCAGGTCAAACATTAAATAAGTTTTCACTCTTTAACATCAGAGGACAAACTAGGCGCTAACAAGAGTTGCATATCAAGGCTATTTTTATAATTTCCAATACTTCCCCTTTGATCGTTGAAGTTGACCTAAGAGTGACCTTGAAAGGTCTCTAACGAATACTTCCGATATGCTGGACGCAGTTCACGCGTCAACAGTTTTATTGTATTGTAACATGATTAGTTGTGAGAAGTAGAGACTACCTGTATGAAGTCTTGCGTGAAGGCTCATATTCGACCGATCAGCAAACGTCTTTCCGCATTCTGGACACGAGTATGGTCTTTCTCCAGTATGGACACGTTGGTGTTGTTTCAGCAACATTTTTCTTGAGAAGCTTTTACCACACACGTTGCACTCATGTGGCTTAACACCTGTAAAAATGAACCTTGTTACACATGACGATAAAAAGCTGGTCTAAATAAAACAATAAGGAAGGCAGGCAAAATCCAATTTTATACTATTATTGCTAGAAAAGGGTAAAAGTTGGTACTTTACGAATATGGGTCGAACAATTTCAGGTCATAGTAAAGTCGTCGGTGAACGGCCAGGGAGGAACTGAAGGTCATGTCGCGTTTAGGCCCTCACTTTGTTTTACATTCAGGAAGATTTTGAAAATTTGTTCACTGAGGTTGTTTTACAACGTTTAAGGTCAAAATGATGTCCACCCGAGGTCATGTATGCAAAGTATACTAAACCCTGGTTTGACCTGCAAGGTCATAGGTATGGTCAGTTTCAAGGACACATGTGAATGGCCTGAGTAAAAATTGCAGATCCCGCCGTCCTTGAGCCTTAAATAATCCCTTATCTCTAGAAACATCCTTGACATTCTGTCGAACGAGGTTTTTTCATAATGACCTTGACCAAGACGTTTTGAGTCAAAATAATTTCATAGTATATTTTAGCCAAGGTCAGGGCTAGGCGCATAATTTTCTGTTCTACCTATTTCTGCAGTCAAAATATTGAGGTATCATTGAAGAAAATTCTTTTGACGCTTATTCTACCGTTAAAGTCGAAGTAAAGGTCAGTCCAAAGTCATCAAATAATATTCAAATAAAAACTCTTTTTACAACCAGGTCATTCAAGGTCAAAATAATTTTCACCCATAACTGAACTTAAAATTTTCCTGCCCGTCTATTTCCGAGTACAAAAGTATAGGGACCCATTTAAAAAATCGATGTTTTCTTTGATTTGGCATTTGAGGTCAAGGCCAAATTCAAGGTCACCACTGCATACACAGTGGACAATCATAAGCCCTCACTGTTTTACTTTTATCATAGTCTCTGAGTATTCGCCAATATCCTACTATTCCGGTACTTTTGAATCATTATGTTCAAAATAAGCTTTACTAACTCTTCTTCTGCCTCAACTGATCATTTCTAAGTAAAAAATAAAACCAGTTTCACATAGAAACTACGCCTCGAATTGATAAAAGTACTACAATAGCCTTTTAGTTGTCTGATATGTAAAGCTTTTCAAGACGAAAAACAGAACTGCAAATCTTCATCAGTGCAGTTGTGGAAATCATGAAAAACTCAAAATGTTCTGTGGAAAAATATACTTCATAGATACTTGTGAAGTTACTGTAACCTGAATGCCATGATATAATAAAAACGCTGTTATATTGCTTTGGATTGCCACCACTGAATCGTACACAACTGCAGGCCTTTCTCGTATTATGCCATTCAACTGTATATTAGCATGTACAGGGTGTTTCCTAACACAATGTCAATACTAAAGGAAGAGATTTCCGGCTTCATCTTAAGGATGAAACTTCATGTGAACGTAGTGCCCTAAACGTCTCAGCTTTTGAGATACCGGGCGGTAAGGTTCTCAATAAAAATATAATAAAATATAAAAGATAAATCTGAATGAGTAGATTTTATCTCTTGTCTCTCGCCCGGTTTTCATCTAAAAAAGTAAAAGCTACTTTTCTGCATGGCGATATTGATATAATCATACATAGAAACTGTTTTTATTTTTTAAGCGAGAACCGTGCTTCAAATTGAAAAAAAGGCCATCAAATTTGCTCAGAAATGATCGATGATTTCATAAATAATTTTTATCTCAGGAGAAATCGGTGAAGTACCATCAACGCCACTTTTGAAAATAAAAAAGATGTACGTTAAGAAATGACAATATCTACAGTGGTATTTACAGATATTTATATGAGTGATTTACTTTTGAAAACTTTACCACTCTGTATCTCAAAAGCTACGACGTTTAGGACGTACCTCCACACGACGTTTTATTCTTAAAATAGACCCAAAAATCGCTGTCTTAAATCTTGAAATTCAATTTGGAAGCACCCCGTATGACATACAAAGCAAGTAAACGGTAAACCCGAGACATCACAGAAACGACAAAAATTCTATGATGAACGTTTTTGAAGAAGGATGTAGTCATTTGATAGCATCTGATAATATGTCTGTACTTTCTCCTTGGCCGAGGCGAAGATTTAAGTGGAATGTTATAAAAATTATTGTGTTCGAAGGTACCGTAATATACATCATGCTTGTTGGAGGAATTTGATATATATGGCCAATGTCCAGTTAAAGAGGAGATCCTACGATAACTGAACACAGAAACAGATGAAAATTTCATTTGCCATTTGATTTATAGAATCATTGTGGCTAAAATTAGATTGCACGTGTAGTAGCTATATTCGTATATTCGTTTGCCAATCAAATTACAAATAAAAACAGTAGCATGTTTCAAAATGGTAAAGTTCAGGATCCCAAAAATCACAGAACGTCCATTATTTGTCATTTGATGCAAAACTCTAATAGTCCAGGAGGTACATTCGCATCCGCTCAATAAACCTTCTGTTTCTGCTTGTTTGTATAATCTTAATCAAAACGGTAACCTTTTCACGTTCAAGTTGGCAAAATTGTAAAAAAATGTTCAAACGGTTCTTAGCAAATTTCAAAAATTGCCTTTTCAACCCAGACAAACTTTGCTTCTTATGTACTAGTATATAAAGTTGATAGTTTACGAGATATATGCGATTCAATATTTGAAAAACCAGAATTAAGTCACGTCATTTTCTGACCCAAAAAGATGACAGAATGAGAGTTTTAATGTTATTAAAGTGCTTAAATATTGTCAAAAAATCCATTATCAAAATTCAATGGCATTTTGGGGAGTATTTTTATTGTAAACATTTGTTTTTCAACCTGTAATCAATGTATATTCTGTGTGATAGGGAGAGATATACTGCATCTCTTTTCGTTGAGGGTTCTGTTTGAGATTTGTTTTAAGCTTGAACCACCACAAAGGCCTAACGCCTAAACACCCATGGGGCTATAGGGTGATACAGGTTAAAAGGGGGGACGCTACACCGACTGTAGCGAGGCAGCAAGTGTACAGCAACATGCACACATTCTAGCACTGCCTTAGAGATCTGCTGCGACAGTCAGGGACCATGTACCACCTACGGACAATAACGACATCCATAGCCAAGAGAAAAATTCTTTTGGGACGGGATTCGAACCCGTCCATAGCGTCTAACACTTCGCCACCGCTGCTGCCTAGAACGCAAACGCAAACATGATCAGATTTTTTCTAACGGTAGGTATGCCTGTAAAGTTTATATGTACTTTTCACTTCATCCGAATTGTCAAATTTGTATTTATATTATATTCCTTAACACATAAGGGATATTTTGCTATACGTTGATGTTCCGATTCTCGCCTAGTATAGGTAATTTCAAATATATTACCTAATTGCTGTTTCTTTGAAGTTTTTAAATCTTTTACGAGCTTACCCGTATGTATCCTCAAATGCATATTGTACGCCACCCTCTGGTTAAACCTCTTGGGACAATGTGGACATGCGTATTCCTTTTTATCTCTATGGATCTTCATATGGCTGGAAAGGTAACCGCGATCATTGAACATTTTGCCACACTCCTGACACTTTGCAGCGAATTCCTTTGTGCCTTCGTGGACAGATCTGAAAAAAAAACAAAATATGGTACTGAGGAATTGGTGAACATATTGATGAGTGAAATGGGGTTAAAGTAGACGCACGTGATCGAAATCATCAGCATACTCTGTGTCTCTATCGACCATACAATCTAACACTATACAGGGTGTTTCAGTTTATTGTTGCATAACTTTAAGATTCGATAGAACTTTTAAAATTAATGCATAAAGTCTATATAAACATGGGTCGAAAAATGCGTGGCTTCCGAAATACAGGGTGCTTAAATTTACTTTTTAAAATAGTTTTTTTTTAAATATTTCGAACAATATTTGATGTATAACAGTGAAAATTGGTATACAATGGTTTTTTGGTACGACAAAACGAACCATGGGCATAGTTTTACTGTAGCCGCTAGAGGGCGCTCTCTACTGTACCTGTAGTGTATTAAAATGACCGAAAATTTTTGTCGTACCAAAAAACCCTTGTATACCAATTTTCACTATTATACATCAAATATTGTTCGAAATATTTAAAAAAAACCATTTTAGAAAGTAAATTTAAACACCCTGCATTTTTCGATCCATGTTTATATAGATTTTATGCATTAATTTTAAAAGTTCTATCGAATCTTAAAGTTATGCAACAATAAACTGAAACACCCTGTAGAGCTCTAAGCCTCGGCGCGTTTCCTTTGGTTTAGTTAGATGCGAAAAGAAAAGCTTAAATATCGGAGTACTTCAGCTAGCTCTTGATACGAGCTCAGCCATTGGAGAAGCTTTCCCTAGGTAAAAAATTCCGCACGGTGTTCCACATTGTCGACATCCTTGGAACGGAGAAGTGGTCCTACTGGACAGTCCTAGATGTAGCGGGTACTATCAAGTGGGAAACTTCAGGATTTTTTCTCTTCGCGACAAATCTTCACTTTGGTTTTCAGCCTGCTACGCTACTGGTTAATGGTACTTTTATAGTTGAAGCAATTGAGATGTAACAGGCCCGCTTCTATTTGCTAAGCGCTAATTTTTGAGTAAACATCGTTTAGGCGTGCGATCATGGTGAATTCCTAATCCTATTAGGTTTTAACAAAAGCGACATCTTGAAAATTGTTTACTTTAGATTTGTTCTGTTTTAACAAGACTTTTATGTGTGCAGTACCATTTACAGCTAAATATATAAAGCTTATTATGGGAATACGGAGAAATATTTATGAAAATGACAACAAAAGGATGAGCCGCAGTGCGGTGGATGAGGTATTGGAATGGGCGGATCGGTGGCTAATCAAAATTGGTTACTCGAAAACACATGCTATCTATTGCTTAAAAACGTATCGGCGCCACGCCTGGGGCTTGATTCTAAACGAGTTTCGATCGTTGAAATTGATTTCGATGGCGCCTTGTGACGATATACTTGATTCGCTATGATAATTTTGACATCTGATTATATTGATCTTCACAACGCGCCATCGAAATCAATTTCAACGATCGAAACTCATTTAGAATCAAGCCCCAGATGTTTCAGTGAATGGTATACCATGGGGAAATTCGGTGTTTCTCTTGACAGGCTCTACCCTATGCTATGTAGAGCCTCACAATTAAGTTTGGTCAACAAATTTCGGTATACAAGACGGTTATCAGACCAGCAATCACTTACGCATGTGCAGCATCGTGTTTTCTCGCCAAAACACATATGCGTAATTTGCAAGTTATGCAGAACAGCACCTTACGAACCATCACTAACACACCATGGTATATCTCCAACGAGACCCTTCACAGAGACCTCGATATCCCTTACCTAAGGGAATACATCAAGCAACAGGCGCAGTTACGTTATAGTCAAGCGGAATCGCACAGCAACTCTTTGTTGCGTGAGTCAGTAGACTACACAGTCAAGCAAGTTCGCAAACACACAAGACCGCGGCTCGCACCGTGAACAAAGTCAAATCGTGCAATTCTAGGTCCAACCAAAATTACGATTTTTGCCACACATACAAATTCCTAAATTCATTTTTGGATCAATTTAAAATAACCGTATACCAGTTAACAATAGCAAGGCACCCCTTTAACTGGCGCTCTTCCCCCTTCCTTACTTTATTTCGTCTTCCTTTCTTTCTCCCTGACTTCGTCTGGTCTCTGGGCAACCAGACCTGACAGACCTACTGACCTACGATACTTTAACAAAGAGCGAAGGTCTTACGGACCGCTCTGACGGACAATGACGAATAGAAGAAGGATGAGCTGCAATAATTTCTTAGGAGTAATAATCGGTAATATCAGGGAACTATAGCAAGCAAAACCGCGCTCACTGTGTCCCATTGGATTGTCTCGCTACTGAGGCAAGAAATATTTGTTTTTTTTTGTGATATCTGCTTTTAAAAAATTATGTGTATTCAAAAGGAATGTGTCTGTTTGTCTTAAGATTCTATCTTAACCGTTGGATTATATACAATTATTACGACATGCACAAGTCAGTCATTTCCATCGTCTGTCTTTCTGGCATTTGACACTCGTTAACCAATCTCTTATAGACCGAAAAATACGCGAATAAGTCAAGTTATTAGAGGTTCCAATAATAAATAAACGTAGGCTTTATCTATACTAAGTGACATATAAATCCGAACACCCAGTTTAAATGGTTTTATTTTAATAAAATTTTGTATAAGTACTTAATGAAGCATAATAAGTAAATGATAAAAATTTCAAAATGATTGCACTGCTTTAAAGCCCTTTGACCTTTAATAATGTGTGGATGCACCCTGATGTGCTACGCATTCTCCAACGCGCCTAGGCATGCTTCTGATCAGGTGGTCAATGTCCTCCTGTGGTATCTTATTCCAGGCACCTCTCGAAGAGCTTCTAGAGTCTGAGGAGGACGTTGCAAATTGAGCAATCTCCTACCCATCATATCCCACATGTGCTCAATTGGGGATAAGTCGGGAGATCTTGGTGGCCATGGCAACAATGTAACATCATTATATTGAAAGAAGTCTATTGTGACTCCTGCAACATGTGGTCGGGCATTATCTTGTTGGAAAGTTGGATCTGCCAGGATGTCAAGATAGGGTAAAAGATGGGGTTCTAGAACTTCGTGGATATAACGCTGCGCATTCATGTTACCTCTGATGAAGGTTAAAGGTGAGCTGGAACCATAAGCTATAGCATCCCAAACCATAACTCCAACAGTGTGATGAACATGTCTTTCAACAAAAAATTGTGGATTCCTCCTTTCACCACGTCGCCTTCTAACCCTGGCACGACCATCGTGCATGCCTAAACAAAATCGAGACTCGTCACCAAAGACAATTCTGTTCCATTCCTGATCCCAGAGTGACCGTTGTCTGCACCACTCAAGGCGATTACGTCGGTGTTCTCGAGTTAAAGGGAGGACCCAGTGTGGCCGGTATGAAAACAAGCCAAAACTTCTCATTCGTCGGTAAACACTTCGCATGCCAATAGGTCTTCCGTGTTCTGCAAACCATTCATTTGCAATGGACCTGGTAGTGGAGAAACGGTCCCTTAAGGCCAATAATCTTAGGCGGCGATCTTCACGGTCTGTTGTTCTACGGCGGCGTCCAGTGCCCTTTGCTCTTTGCGTACGGCCTTCTCGAAGCCATGCCTGACAACACCTAACCACAGTGTCTACACTTCTTTGCACTCTAACTGCAATTGCCCGAAAAGAAAGTCCAGCTTCCCGAAGTCCCACTATACGGCCCCTATCAAACTCACTAAGTTGACGAAATCGTACAGGTCTCCGTACTCTAGGCATCGTAACCGATCGTAAAGGATGTCAAGAACCAAAATCCGCAAACGTGGATTCTTTACTGCGGCTGAAATATTCATTTTTAGAGCTTTAGTGAATTAAAAAAAGCAGTATAAAAACCGGAATGTCCAACTGATAAGGCTGAAAATTTTTTCACTTATTATTTACAGTAAGATAAATACATTCACCAACTTCTATTAAAATAAAACCATTTAAACTGGGTGTTCCGATTTATATGTCACTTAGTATATATCGTACTTTGTGTCAGGATGCAGGCACAGAATATCTTGCCTACTTATACCAGTGCCTCTCACCCTCCTATCTCTCTAGCAACTTGACATAATATAAACAAAGCAGATGCCTTCTGTAATGCATCAAAGGTAAACTGATGACCATGATCATTTATCCTGATCATTACCATTAGTATTTATTACTTCATCATAGGCGAAGGTGTCGATAAAACATCAATGACTAAAAAGTAGACACTCAGATGTACAGGGTGTAAACGTTATGATAGTCATTATTTAAATCGGCGATAGAGGGAGTTAAAACAAGCAAAACGTTTCATATAACATGGGGGACAAAACGGCATTTTTTAGAGAAAATCGAATTTAAAGTAAAATAAAATCTGACAACGTCGCAATTCCAGACGCAAATTACGACGGAACGCAGTGTAAATAAAGATGGAGTTTGTTACTTTTGGCTCTTAGGTATTATTTCATTATTTGATAATGTGCTCGTAAAATGCAAACAATTAAAAAAAACGGACTTACCACTAACTGTCTCAGCGCTTCACCTGGTGCGTGAAAGTTTATTGAACGTATTAAAAAAATCCACTTATAAATAGGGAACACAATTTTGATACATACATGTTATTCTTTTTAAAACCCAAATTGCACTTTTTTTGTATTTAAAGAAGGTGTTCATAATGTCGTCCTCCACTTTCCACACAATCTTCATTACGACGAACCCAGTTTCTTCTTACTCTACGTCCTCGAAATTGTCCATTTATTATTTCAGCCGCATTAAAATTTTTTTCGCGAAGTTGTGCTTCCGTTGTTATTGGACCAGCCCCATAAACCATCCCTTTAGGTTCTCCCCGATACCAGAAATCCATCGGATTGACAGGAGATTTTGCTGGCAATTTTCGAGGATCAGGAGCATTTCGACCGATCCAGCGATTTGGATAATGTTCATTCAAATAAAAATGTGTGGTGGTGTCCCGTCATGAAGAAACCACAAATTCTGCCTCCGTTGTAATGGCATGTTGTCCA